GATTATACAGGAGAAGGTTCGCGGCCCACGCTGTCAGATGGAGGCTCTCACGATGGGAGTTTCTTCACCATTCAAAGCCCTTCAAACCTCTGATTACAATAATAACACAGTGGGTACTAATTTATTGTTGTGAACTCACTCTCGCTCACCTCCATTCTCTTGTTTTCTGTCTAGATTTGCAAACCTTCCATGCCAGTGGCAGGCCTGACGTGTGAGCTTTAGTGGTTATGTGGGAAGTTGTTTAAAAGGTTGGATGCCCAACCTTTGACACAGTGCTGTTTCACCCCTGCAGCTTGTGCCATTGTTCAGTCTATCATTAGACAGCGGTCCCAGCAGGACTTCAGTCTGTTCACTCACAGTTGACCCATTCACACGCAGACATTTTTGTGTGGACCATATCACACCAGGAGGGCGGTACAGAAGCGGCAGGACAGCGGTGTGTGAATTCAACAGCGCCAGAGGAGCAGAGGGTCATTATGTCTGCAAAGAGTGGCCCGTGAGGAGGACTGAGGAGGGACAGCATCAGCAGAGATGTCACAGATGTCACAAATATATAGCCATAGGCGGTGAGAGAGGGAGGGACGGCTGGTGAGAGGGGTTTGCAGTGAGGCTGTGCAGGAGCGTATCTGGAGATAAGGAGATGGATGTGCTACTTTGTTTCAGATTGCTTTCTGACGGTGGTTTGCAGACCAGAATTTATTACTTTATGGTTTAAATTGATCAAGCTGGCATGTCAGATCTCAAGTTCATTCATAAAACAAATCTGCCTGTGATGGAAAGAAAGATGATGGGATTGTTTGAGCTAACGGATGCTTCCTTTAACAAAAAAAAATGTGAAAATGAAACCACTGCCGCATCAGCCAATTAAAGCACGATTTTTACAGTGCCTGCAAATGCACCATGATTTTCCTAAAGAGATTTTTAAAGAGCAAATGTAAACAAATCATATGGTAGTACTATTTTGTTATTGATTTCTTCTTCTCCACATGACTCCTTTAAAGTAGTTACTAAGACTCTTTAGAGGTATTGGATGAACACAATAATGAACTTTTGCTCTTTAACTTTTGTGTTGAGTATGTGTCTGTGGAGCTGTGCCAGCATTTCAGGAAAGTTCTGATCTTTAATACACAGCGTGGTACCAGCAACACCCGGGGCTCCTGGACAACAAGGGTTTCTCCAAACGATTAAACATGTTGACATTATAAGGTTCAAGAATAAAACAATTGACACAGCTGGAGCAGGCTGAATCTGTCTTTTTCTTTCTTGCTTGAGGTTTGGGGGGAGGTGAACAGTTCCTACATGCACCTGTTCATGGCTGTAGTAATCTCAATCCATGATCATCCATGGGACAGGCCAAAAAATTCAGCCCCATGTGGTGTCTGTCACCAGATGTATAATATCTGGCTTCAGTGGTTATGGATGGGATATCCTGATGATCATCTGAGAGCTGTATTAATTAGCTCAGTACAATGGAACTTGGTCAGTATTACACATACCTGAAATGCTTAACATTAAGGAGGTAAATCATTGGGTGCTAGTGGTTATTACATAGCAAGCTATATGGCAGCGTGAGCACTGACATTGTGCCATGTGGGGTTCTACATATAGCACCATATCTAGAGCTTTCTGTGATTTTTCTATGAAATGGATAATTTAATATGTACTGCTGAGACATTTGTAAACTGAGGTAAATATAACACTTTGGTTTTCTTTTAGGAATCATGTTCATTTGTCTTATTTGATTTTTGTTTTCTCACACTCATTGCTTTGATAGCTGTTTGGGCCAAAGGGGATGATTTTCTGTGAGTGTTTCCATCATTGCAGGTCAAAGCGACCTTGTATCAGCACATATTAATAAAAAAACTATTTAAAATATACACTGTTCATGCTTGAAGGTTTCTTGGGGAATGTCTTGAAGGAGCTGTACTGTGGTGCACACTTGTGTGTATGTGGTTGTGCACTGATGCACAGCATAATTGCTTCTGTACTTGTGTATGTTCCAGCGTGCTAAAAGAGGTAACCAGCAGAGAGAAATTGTTATTAATCTTCCGCTTTTCTATATGCATATAAACTTCAATATATGGTTCAAACTGAAAATGAAAAGATGTCTTTAAGCACTAATACAGTGGCTATGTTTTATTCATGGGCTATCTTGCAGGTTGCAACAATATTGTGCTGTTCATTTGAGAACCAGAGGAAGCAGGGGATTGAAGCCAGGCAACCCAGCCCCTTCCTGAGTCAGCCCCTTCCTGAGTCAGCTCCCCTTTGAACCACACAGTATGTGCACACCATTTGACCTGGTGGCTGGCATGATGATTTTGTCAAATGCTGCTGTGTCCAAAGCATATTTGTGAATGATCAAAGACATGCAGAAAGAAGCAAGCTGTCAGTTTAAGAGGCAAAACTCAGACTCCTGGTGTTTGGACAGCTGCTAATAAAGGTCCTGAGGACTGATCCTATATTTGTCTGCAGAGAGCAAGGCTTTGTTGCACTACAGTAACCCCGAGTGAGTATTACCAGACTCCAGTGGTGCTTTAAACCATTTCATACGTATGTGTATGTACATGCAGACCAGTGGGCATACTTGCTCTGCTACAGCCGGCTTTACAAAGCATCAGTCAAGGTTAATTAATCATACAGTGTGGTGTGATCCCTGATGTAATCATTTAATAACTGCAGTGTGAGTATAGATTACTGACTTTTGAACGCAACACCGTTTGCTGGCAGCAGTCTAGTAAGCCACAGCAGCACACAACATTAGACAGCCTTTAGCACACTCCAGAGCCAACTACACATTGTGATCAGCTACATCTGTCAGGTATGACACACTTAAGTGTCTGGGTTATTGCAGCCCATTTACTGCAGCTTCTCTTAAGCCCACTTATCCCCAATGTGTGATCAGTGTTCAGCTCCTACTGAGCTTTGTTTCCTGACTGGTCATAATCCTTTTCACAGTGAAGACCCATTGGTGACTAATATCGAATGATTATGTGCATCCATCCATAATTATAACATATCTCCAACTTTACCTTGGCCGTTACCTTTTTTTCTTACATCATACTGTATGTCGTACATGTATGATGACCCACCCCCAACCAGTCCACCCATCTGCCCAGCCCCTACCTCGCTCCTGTCCTTTCAGTGAAACTCCCTGAGAGGGGGACGCTCTAAAGCCTTGACCATTCAATCACCCTCTTTTCACTGTTGCTACAGTAACACTTTCACACACTAACATATCAAACACGAGCAACAAAGCCTCTAACCCTAGCCACATTCACTTCCTGGCACTCAGTCTGTCTGAAAGGCAAAAAGAGGCTTTTTCAAGGTCATTGCACATTTAGAGAAGCTTAAAATAGAGTCCGATATTGACAAAACAAGACTCACAGCAGCTGTCAGCAGATCCCGGGAGATAGAGAAAAGAGATGTATTAAGTTCAGTCTGAACTGCTCTGTGTTCATGCGTTAGTGTAATTACTACCATACATCAAGCCACAGGGGCAACCAGTTGTTTAAGTGCTATAACATACAGTATATAACACTTAAATTATCAAGTGAAGTGCAGCGCGCTTAATATCCCTGTAGTGGTTCATTACAAATCAGAGCACTATGTTAGAAAACAGTGTTCAGTCCAAAAAACCCACAATGACTGCACTGCCACAGCACTGTGACGGAGGCTTGATCTATTGAAGAGCATGTTTAGCTCCACCCACAGTTACGGATCATAGAAAGGTCATACGTCTAAATATATTTTTATGGTGATGGAAGTTAGAGCAATCTGAAATACACAAGCATTAACTGTGTTGCCATTACTCAACAAAAGTAATATAACTTGTAAATTGCTACCGTTACCCCAGTGGCACAGGACTTGTGACTATTTACTGCCCCCTTGTGGTTTAATGCTGAAAAGTGTCGCTTTGAATAGGAAACCAGGAAAAAACACTCAATGAAACAGTCAAATCCAAGTTAGAATTTATTTCAAACTTGAAGGACAAGAAAAAAAATTTTTTTACATGAATGTTAAGGCAATTATCACACTTAAACTAACCTATGCAAAAATGACAATAGTTTTTCCAAAAAAGGGAAGAAACTTATAATTTCTGATTAAAATGTGCAGGGAATTAACTAATGCAAAATAAGCTATTATTCAGAATTTGGGAATAGATGCATGCAATGATAGTAGAGGAAAGGAAAGCTAACTAATATAAACTCAAAAAAAGAATATATAGAGAGAGAAAGACACAGAGCAGGCTATACATTATGATAATTATCATAATAAAGCCACTAATTATAATCATTTATAATATAATATCATTTAATTTTTGGTGGGGTTATACATATTTATATGCACTTTAACAGTATACTTGTATTATACCGTTATATATCATGTTATTACTTATTTATTATATAGATAATGTTAACATAGTGTTGTGCCACTGTTGTATATGTGGTATGTTTGCTAGCATCTTGGTCCACCCATCCTTTGGTCAAGTCAAGCTGTTAAAATAACAAGTAAGAAATCTCCCACTGTGCAGTATTTTAAATTAATCTACTGCCTTCTATTTTATTCATCAAGCCATAATGTAATTGTTACTTTACTTTTACCAGTTTGTGCCAGTTACTGCAATTATCTGGCTCGTCAGAAAAGAACGACCCTAATGAATATTATCTGATCGGCTGTGTTGATTTATTGCCTAAATTTGTTTATGCAAATGAAAAAAGATATGCACATT